CTCTGACATCTGTACTTAGAAGTGAGATTGTTGGGTCAGAGGGTAAATGCAAGCCCATAATCCCAGCTACTCGGAAGCTGAGGCAAGAAAATTGAGTTTGAGGTCAGCCTGGGCAACTTAGTGATATCCTGTATCAAAAAGAAAAAAAAAAAGTGCTTGATATATAGCTAAGGGGTAGAGTGCTTGCCCAGAAGGTGAAGCCCTGGGTTCAATTCCCAGTGCCCCCGAACCCCAACATCTTTGAAATGATATACATCATTACCAAGCTACAGAGCAGGAGCCCTGAGAGCAGAGGTGGAGAAGCCTACTAGGGAAAGCCTATAGGGCCTTCTAGGCTGATCTAGAAGCAATAGGTGTGTGTGGTTCAGCCTGGGCCAGGGCAGCTGCTCTGGGGAGAATGAGCAGGCCTGTGCCTGGTGAGAGGCCTCATCCCTGTAGGTCTTTCCAGTGCTCATTTACATTCTCTTGGGTCTCATCTCCAGGTTCCACAGAGAAAGCTAGGAGGACTATGGATAGTACCCAGGTAGCAGTGGCTACAGGAGGGTGATAAAGTTGCAGCCTCTTTTCTCTGCAGATGTAGGGGCACAGACATCAAGGATGGCAGCTGGCACCCCACTGATCTGAAATATAATCTCTTCTGATGTGTTTAATGTGTATCTTTTTGTTTGTGTATGTCTTTGAAAATTTAAGTTTTGGCATGTACTGTTTTTTTTTTTTTTTTTTTTTTGGTTCTGGGGATTGAACTCAGGGCAATCTACCACTAAGCTACATACCCAGCTCTTTTATTTTTTATTTTGAGACAGGGTCTCCCTAAATTGCTGAGGGTCTCACTAAATTGATGAAGCTGGCCTCAAACTTGTGATCCTCCTGCCTCAGTCTCCCAAATAGTTGAGATTACATGCATGCACCACTGTGCCTGACTCTTTAGATATTTAATATATATATATTTTGGTTCCTGGGATTGAACCCAGGGGTGCTTTACCCCTGAGTTACATTCCCAGCCCTTTTAATTTTTAAATTTTGAGGTCAGGTCTCACTAAGTTGCTTAGAGCCTATCTAAATTGCCGAGGCTGGCCTCAAACTTGTGGTCCCCCTGTCTCAGACTTCCAGGTCACTGGGATGACAGGTGTGGGCTACCACACCCAGCTAAAACTCAATATTTTTATTACTGTTGTGTTACAGGTATTTTTCCATCCAGCAGTAGGTGTTTACATCCATGTTGCCATGAACATACCTGGTCCCTTGCTGCTTTTGGGTGTGTGGGGGGGCAGGAGTACTAGGGATTGAATCCAGGGGTGAAATCCCATTGAGCTACATCTCTGACCCTTTTCATTTTTAAAAATTTGAGACAGGTTTCCCCAAGTTACCAAGGCTGGCTTGGAACTTGCTATCCCCTGCCTCAGTCTCCTGAGTTGCTGAGATTACAGGCAGGCCCTGGCCCCTTGCTTCTAAGGCTGCATAGTGCCACATTTTACCCATCCACTCTCCCAATGTCGAGCAATTTAGGCTGCCTCCAACTCCTGGTGATCCAGCAACTAACATTCTTCCACGTGTCCGTTTAGGGGCTTGAAAGGGAATTTGGAGGCTCTGTATGTAAGAATTAGATTTTAGGGTCATAGTAATAGTTCACTGTGAATTTCCCTCATTACTGCCAGACTGTGTTCCAGAATGACAGCCTCGGGCTAGTCCACCAGCAGTGCGACAGCTGGAAAAGCTCTACATTCCCACTGACATTGGCATATCCAGCTTTCTCACTTTTACCAGTCGATTGGTGTTACACCTCATTGTCATTGTAACCTGTATTTTTCTGATCACAAATGAATCTGATCATGTTTTCACAGACTCACAGGCTTTGTTGGGGTTTCTGTTCCTTAAATGCCTGCTCCAGTCTTTAGGGGTCTGACTTTCTAATCCTGGGGGCCATCAGACAAAGGCGTGGGAGATGCCCGCCAGAGGCCTTGAGAGGGGCGAACTCTCAGGGGCAGACACGCCCAGGTGGACTGTTGAGGAGCCCAGCGTGCCCTGTCCGGCTTGATTCGGATAGGAAGGGCGCCGGGCGGAGGGCAGGGTGAGGAAGCAGGAGGGGGAGTAACCAGACGCCTGCTGCAGCAGCCAGGAGCAGTAGCAGGGGCGCAGGATCGGGAGGCGCCGCTCCCATCCCGGGCTCTGCATCCGCCCCAGGCTCTGCGCCGGCGAACGCGCGCCTCGTGCTCGGGCACCCGCGCACAACGCTGCGGGGCGGCGGGATGGAGGAGGAGCTGGCTTGGGAGACCCACGGCTGTGAGTCGGCTGCGCTGCGGGAGGGGAGACTCCGGCGGGCCTGGACCGACAGGACCCGGACATTCGCGTAGGGCGGCCAAGGGAAAGGTTGACGCGGTCTGCCTGGCCACCTCCGTCTTGGGCTTCTTTATGGCTCCAAGCAGAACGCACAGCTGGCCAAGGGGGCATTGGCCGCGCCTCTGGGACTTGGGGGCGCCACCCATCTGGCCAATTAGAAGCTGCGGCCAAGGAGACATTAGCTAGACAGAATAAAGGTAATAGAGATCCTTACTGAGAACTGGCTTTGTGTGCCGGGCCTTGAGGCAGGTCAGGCATGACGTTTAATCTTCACTGCTGCCGCACAGGTAGGACCTATTGTTATCTCCATTTTGCAGATGAGATAGCTGAGGCACAGGACCATTAAGTAAGTTGTGCAAGGTCACATGGCCATTAATTGGTAGAAATGCTGGCGATCCCAGCTTTCTCAGAATGTTGGGGTTGGATGGGAAATGGAGACCATATCAAATGGGGAAGCTGAAACCCAGAGGAGAGGAGCTGGGGCCAGCTCCAAGCTGGATGAGGGCACCCCAGAGACTTCCTCCAGAAGTGTGCCCAGTGCCAGGACTCCTAGGTGGGGTAGTCATATTCCTGAGGCACCAGCTAACCTGGGGGTAGCTTTGGCTGAGCTACCTGGGAGAGGGGAGGGGATTACACCAGTATCTGCACTGTGAAGCCTCAATCCTACAGCCCTTGGCTGAGCCCTGATACCTGAACTCAAGGGCTCCTCATTAAGTCCTCATAGTACAGCTCACTGGTGTTCGATATGATGGAGCAAACTATCCACTCAGCTGAGGGATGGTGTTGGGAGTGGTGGGCTTCTTCAAAGTGTCAAGGGGGTTCTGCTTGGGGCAGAGCTCACTGGAGCTGGCCTCAACTCAAGTGAGCCTCACATTCAAAGCATGGGTAACAATGGAGTATGTGAGAGGGATTCTGGGTGCAGGACAGAGCATGGGGAAAGGCTCAGTGGGCAGAGAGCATAGTGTGCATTTGCTGTGGCTGGAAGGAGGGTACATGAGGCGAGGTGAATGGAAGAGATAGACAGAACTTGCTTTCATTGTCAATTGAGCTTCTCTGGTCACTGTATGGAGTGTCTGCTTGTTCCCCATTGGGACTCTTGGTTATTTGTCAATACAAACCAGGCCACTCCCCTGAGCTTCAGCTAGGATAGTGGGTGTAGAAACTGGAAAGAACCTGAATAGATTCTTCTGTCCCCTAATTTTACAACTGAGGAAACTGAGACCTGTAAAGGGACTTGACTAGCCCAGGATTGTGCTGCTGGAAAGTGGCATAGTAGGGCCTGGAACCCACCCTCAGCTGGCTCACACCTGAAATGCCAGCTCCTCTGAACCTGGGTCATGGTGGTTTTCAGGCAAAAAGTTGAGGAAAGAAAAGTGCAGGCGGGCACGGTGATGCACACCGGTAATCCTAGGGTCTTGGGAGACTGAAGCAGGAGGATTGCAAGTTCAAAACCAGCCTCAGCAATTTAGTAAGACCCTGTCTCAAAATAAAAAAATTAAAAGAGCTGGGGAAGTGGCTCATTGATAGAGTGTTCCTGGGTTCCATCTCCAGTACAAAAAAAAAAGAAAAAAAAAAGAAATAAAGAAAAGTAAGAAAGTAAGTGCAGGACAGTATGTGTTGAAGATTCTTAGGATCTGAGAAAGATTCTTCTAAAGCCTGTTATGCTATGTTGAGAAGGTCTCCTCACGTTTTCAGGGAAGGCAGGGAAGGCAGACCCTTTGGGACAGGGAAGAATGGAGCCATCAGTGGAGACCACACTTGGAAGGTGGCATTTCTCTCAAATACCCTCCTCTAAAGTATTGGGGTGAAGCTGCATTTCCCTTGGAGCTTCTTTCCTGCTGTTAACCTGAGCTTATATTTCACTTTTCTAGGGGACTAGTGAATTTCAGTTGGGGCACATCCTACAGTCTAAAGGCCAACCTTCCAACTCCAGGAAATTGAATGAGTTGTGTCTCACACATTTATTTAATAGATCTGTGCCAGGGCACAAATTTGGAACTATAGATATCAACAAATCAGACAAAAATCTCTCTTGTCATGAGCTTATGTTAAAAGGAATAAGCTGGCCTGGTGACTTAGTGAGACCCTGTCTTAAAATAAAAAAAATAAATAAATAAAAAAGAGGGATGGGGAGCTAGGATTGTGGCTCAGTGGTAGAGGGCTTACTTAGTGTGGGCGGGACCTGGGTTGGATCCTCAGCACCACATAAAAATAAAGGCATTGTGTTGTGTCCATCTACACCTAAAATAAATAAATAAATAAATATTTTAAAAAAGAGGGATGGGTTGTGGCTCAGTGGTGGAGCACTTGCTAACACATGTAAGGCACTGGGTTCAGTCCTCAGCACCACATAAAAATAAATAGATAAAATAAAGGTATTGTGTTCACCTACAACTGAAAATATAAATTTTTAAAAAAGTAAGTAAAAGGGGCTGGGGTGTGGCTCAGCGGTAGAGTGCTCGCCTTGCATGCATGAGGCACTAGGTTCGATCCTCAGCACCACATAAAAATAAAAAATAAAGAATTGTGTCCTCCTAAAACTAAAAAAAAAAAAAAAGTTAAAAAAAAAGTAAGTAAAAAAGAGCTAGATAGATATATAGTGGTAAAGCGCCCAGGATTCAATCCCCAGTACATGCACACACACACACACACACACACACACACACACACATACACACACACACACACACACACACAGAGGAGCAAGTAGATAATATAAATATGTAAAATAACATATGGAAAGAAATGATGCCAGGAGGTAAATAGGGAGTCCTTTCCTTGGTTGGGCTTCACTGACTCAGGGGCCCCTAAGTGAAGGAGGCATCTCCAGGTCTTTGGCCAACAGAAAATATTCCCTGACTCTTTGCTTTGGAGGAATAGTGGTAATGATGATGGTGATGGTGGTTTGGGTACATAGTGGTAAAGATGGTAATTTAAAAAAATTTTTTGTTTTTAGTTGGAGATGGATACACAATATCTTTATTTATTTGTATGTGGTGCTGAGAATTGAACCCAGTGCCTTACACATGCCAGGCAAGTGCACTACTGCTGAGCTACAACCCCAGCCCAAGATATATTTTTAATCATTATATGAACTTTGCAGAAGAGACTTCATGTCCCCATTTTGCAAATGAGGAAACTGAGGCACCAGGTGATTAAGTCACAACAGCTAGAAATGGTTCCTCCAGAGTTGAACCCAGGGCCATGTAATGGTCCTAAGGCAGAAATTATGGGACCTACAAGTTATCTCCATGAGGACCTAGAGAGCCCAAGACTTTCTTCAACATCTGGAAGGCTGTGGAATTTATCTGGAAAGGCAACTCCATGGCGGGCCTGTCACTTCAGTGCATCCTAACCTTCCCTGTCAAGAGAATGACCACTTGTCCCTGGATAAACCAGGGCTGGATCCAAACATTCACACTGGACCAAACATGTGGGATGTGGGTTTGGCAACAACATAAACACAAAATTACTTGCCCTGGAGTGACTGTGCAAAGGTCTAGAAAATATTTGTCCTCTGTTATGGTGGATCTGAGCCCTTTTAGAGTAGGGTCAGGCATTCATTAGTCTGATTCATAGAAGCAGAGCTTTGTAGATTTCTCCTGTGTCCAGCTTTGGGTCTGCTGAGAGCTGTGGCTAGACCAGGATGAGCTAGATCAGGGTCCCCAAAAGCTTCTGGTCTAGCCAAGGAGACCAGAGTCTCACAGTTGAGAGCAGTCAGGATGACTGCAGTACTGGGGGTTAGGTGAGGTGAGCCCCAGACCATGTCACCAGCCTTGTGTTCTCCAACCTCAGATGCTAACTTGCTCTGTGGCACTGATCCCCCCAATGCTTGTGACAGGTTGGCAGGGGCAGCTCTGAGTTCCCAGCAGTCTGAGACTCTGATATAAGGACATAGCTATCAGGGTGACAGTGGAGAAAATAAACCACAGAGGAGGCAAAGCAGGGTGGGCCTCAGAGTGCAGAAGTGGAAGGACTGGGATCTGGGGATGAGGAGTGGAACCAGGAGGTGAAGGTGTAGAAGTGGAGCAATGAGCCTCCAGCCTCACCTAAGGCTGACACAGGGAATTCTGGCTGCCTTCTGCACCAGACTGAGCTGTGCAGACTGGAGCTACTGACTCCACTGGGAATGAATTCCATTCCCCTTCCCCAAGAGAAGCTCTTTTTTCCCCCCCTTTCTGGGTACTGGGAGAACCAAGGAGCACTTTACCACTGAGCCACATCCCCGATCTTTTTCATTTTGAGACATTGAGTTGCTTAGGGCCTCACTAAGTTGCTGGGGCTGGCTTTTAACTTGCAATCCTCTTGCCTCAGCCTCCTGAGTCACTGGGATTACAGGCATGTGCCACTGTACCTGGCCAAGAGCAGCCCTTAAAAAATATGGGAGACCCTTCCGCTCAACCCACATCACTTTCTCCCCTCAGTGCTTCCCCTGGAGAGGCAGCTCCATGAGGCCGCCCAAAAGAACAACATTGGGAAGATGAAGGAGCTGATGGGGAGGAGGGTTAACATCCGGGCCAGAAATCACGTAAGTAATGGGCTCCCACAAGGTGACAGCATCACACAGGGGAACAGTACATTGAGCTGGAGACAGACGCTTTGCATGTGCTAATTTGGTGGGAGGTACAGGGTCTGCATTCTCTCGAGGTCTCTGAGACTCTGGAGTGGTAGGGATTGAGTTATTTATTAAGGCGTACTCTGCTCAGCCCTGTGCTAGGTGCTACGGTGCCGGTGCCGCAGTCTGGCTGGACACAATTCAGGAGCCACTTGTCAAAAGAAACTAACTTTATTTTTAGAACCACACATGCCAAACAAAACAGCTCCTCAGGAAAAACCCTCAGAGCCCAACTGCCACCACCGGCTTCCCACAAGCCTCTCTCAAAACTACAAGCCTCCCCACCTCCCACAATCCTCCTGCTCTTGAGGCCGATTGGCTGGGTCGTGTGGGCGGAGCCAAAAAGTCCCCCAATGAGCAGCTCCGTGGTCTGAAAGGGCAGGGAAACAGCCCAATGAGCATCACTGCAGAGGAGCCAATCAGCTAGATGTTGCTGGGCGGCTGTGAGCCAATCATGTTGCTGGGGCCCCTTTGGCTGTGGCTCTCAACACTACGGACAGAGCAGAACCCATGACAGACATGGTTCTTGCCCTGGTGGAGCCAATGGACTGGTGGAGAGGACAGACACTAAGCAAAGCATCTTGAAGTCCTTTCCCACTGTGAAAAGCTGTCCTGAGAGCACTGGGAGAAGGGTCAGAGGGGGTTTGCCCACCTAGAGGGGTCAGGGCAAGCTTCCAGGAGTCAGGTGAGGAGGGGCAATGTCCAGGCAGAGGGAAGAGCATGGGAAGAAGGAAGGAAAGAACAGCCTGTCCCCCAGGGAGGAGATGTGACTTGTCTGAGATCACACAGTGTTTCCTTTCATTGTCCCCTCATAAACTGAGAGGACAGTGCTGCAGAAGGCAGGAGCAGACTCTGGGTGGGAAACTGGCCACCCTTAGCCAGCTCAGATATGCTGAGGCCACAGCCCATGATGAACCTGCAGGGTAGTCTGAGGATGAGGTCGGCAGTTAGTCCCTTTCAGCCCCATTCTGAGGGAAGAACCCCAGGCACTCGGGATGGAGGCCTTGGGGATTTGGGGAATAATTCAAGTTCAGCTAGCAGGAACAAAGGTCTAGCGGTGGGAAGTTGTTTGGCATTTTTGAGGAAGCAGTGATGTACATTGCCAGGCCACTCACAATCCTGTAGGCCCTAGGGTTAGGAGTCTGTCCCAAGAGCAGTGAGAAGCTGTGGAGACTTTTAGGTGGAGACAGAAGCACGCAGTCATTGTGTCTTACTGTGTTTATTTTGCCTTCTGCTGTCAGGGACAGTGGGGCTAAAGTGGGGCTGGGTCCTCAGCCAGATGGTCACCAGAGCCAGCAAAAGGCCCTTTCAGCCTGCAGACCAGTTTTCCTGGTGGGGCAGGTATGGAGGGGACAGTGATAAGTTTCCTCTCCCTCCTGCAGGTGGGCAGGGTGGCCCTGCACTGGGCTGCGGGTGCAGGTCATGAGCAGGCTGTGCAGCTGCTCCTGGAACACAAGGCTGCTGTGGATGATGAGGACGCGGTAGGGGTCCCTCTCGGAGGCGTGTCTGTGTGTCTTGTCTGTCTCAAGCTAGGGCAGAGATCCCAGGATCTCTCTGGGTCTCTGTAAGCCAGTTGTAGTTGCTCAGATTGTCACTGATACGCAGGTGCTCGGTGGGGAGCCAGCTTCAGGGCTTAGTGAAACCACATCGATCTATTTTTCCCTTGCACAGTGATAAAGAGCTCTCCATTGTCAAGGGCCTTTCAGTTCTAAGAGCCTTTCTCAGTCCCTTATGAGGACAGGGAGAGCTGTGGGCTATAGAACAGATAATTGGGTGTTGGTAAAGGCCAATAAAAGTCACCAGGAAGAAGGTCTGTCATGGCAGGACACAGCCCCGCCCTGGCTAACACTTTAACCAATGACTCGCATAGAGACTAATGGTCTTACTGAGAAAATGAACAGGAAGCACCATTGTTGAGAAAAAGAAAGCACTGAAGGCTAACATCTGCAAAATTAGCTCTACAGGTTTGAGGATCCAGCTGAATCTGATAATGACATTTCCTAAGAATACATTCAAGAACCTAAATTTAGGCATGGGGGTGTAACTCAGTGGTAGCGCGCTGTGCAAAGCCCTGGGTTCAATCCCTCGTATTGGTGGTGGCGGTGGATCGGGTGTGAGGAAAGAGAATGAATATAAATTTAAATTTTCTAAAAAGATCATAAATTTGCCTGCAGAGATTTAGTTGTTCATGGAAACACTGTTTTTTGTTTTTGTTTTTTCAGTGCTAGAGAGCAAACCCAGGGCCTTGTGCATGCTAGGCACGTATTCTACCACTGAGTTACATTCCCTAGCCCTTTTTATTTTTATTTTGAGACAGGTTCTTGCTAACTTGCTGAGGCTGGCCTTGAGCTTGCAGTCCTCCTGTCTCAGCCTCACAGGTAGTTGGGCATCTGGAAATACTTCTTTCCTTTCTGGCTTCTCTCTGGTCCCAGGTCCCACCATGAGGGGGACTTGATTACTAGCTGAGGATGGGGTGTGGCAGCAACATCTCCCCTCCCCACAACCCTGGCCCCATTTCCAAGAGAAGACCCAGAAGTGATGTGGTCAAGACTGTCCTGACCATGCAGGGCCCCTAACATGGCTGAGGTCCCTGGAGATGACCCTGGAGCACTCAGAAGTGGAGTTAAAGCAGCCCTCAAATGGGTGATCAACATATTTCCAGCTGCTTAGAGGGACCACGGGGTGAAAGGGGCCAGAGTGCCAACTGCAGGACAGGGCTTGGAGTGTCTGACAGCGGTGTCTGACCGTGTGTGGCTGTCTTGTGAGGCAGGTAGTGCTGCACACAAAACTGGAGGATGTTCTAGAGAGATTTCAACAGTGATTCTCAGGCTCAGTCCCAGGTGAGGTCTTCACAAGCCATCAGGTCAGACAATAAGGACAAAATCATATGCTTTTCATGACTCTGGATTATAATGAATATATTCTGAGGTTGGCTCCTTTCATATTTTTAAAAAATGGTTCTTCCTTATAGAACAATGATGAGAGTAGATGGTAGCTGTTTCATTTTTAGATTTGATCTAGCAAAATAATCCCAAAAAACTTCCTGGTCTTTAAGTTCCTAAAGCTTGATGCTCTCTGTAACTGAATGGCACTTACAGTCCTTATGGTTGTACGGTTTGGCCACGTAGATGCAGGGCCCCAGTTGGCATGGCCACGCCTCCTCATTCTCCTTACCTCTCTGTCCTTTCCCCCAGTTTGGGATGAACGCGCTTCTCCTGTCTGCCTGGTTTGGTCACTTGCGAATCCTCCAGATCCTGGTAAACTCTGGGGCCAAGATCCACTGTGAGAACAAGGTAAGACCCAGCCCGCAGCCCCTGCCCTCTGAGGGTGGCTCTCTCTGACCTCAGACACACAGATCTGCTCCCGACTCTGTCCCTTCTTGCCTCTGCAGCTCCCAACTTGCCCTATTCTCTGAGACCCCCACCCCCCAGAAGCTGTGCTGAGCTCATTCCAAGCTGGCTGCTTCCCCTGGGACTTGGGAGAAAGGTCTGGAGGAGCTTCCCGTGTTTTCAGCAGCAGCAGCAACAGTAGGGAAAGTGACAGGCTTTTTCTTTTGGTTCCCACACCTCTTACTACTTTGTAATGCTGGGACAACAGCCCTCTGGTTGGCTTCCTTATTTATAGGAGAGAAATCAACAACCCCCCACCCCCGCCCCGAGGGTAATTTAGGAGGATGAAAGAAAAGGGAGGTGGGTTCACCTCCACCCTCCTCCCTTGTGCTCAGTGGTGGGATGGAAGGACCCCATTTACCAACCCAGGGACCTTGAGTGAGTTACTTTATCGGCCTGAACCTCAGCTTTCCTCTTAGATAACGGGGATGCTCTCTCTCTCTCTCTCTCTCTCTCTCTCTCTCTTTAATATTTCTTTTTTAGCTTTAGGTGGACACAATATCTTTATTTTATTTTTATGTGATGCTGAAGATCGAACCCAGAGCCTCACACATGCCAGGCAAGTGCGCTACTACTTGAGCCATATCCCAAGCCCCAGGGATGCTATTACACCTTGGAACTGTGGGAGAAGCCAGCACAGTGCTGCATATGACATACAAGACTGGGTGCTGGCACCCTAGGGAACCTGGCAGCCCTCATGGCTCACTGGTGTGTGTATGGTTTCAGGGAGGAGGGCCCCAGCAGGTCAGAGTATGTGGAACCCTCCCCTGGCCTCTTACCTTTTAGAGTGCGCCGGCCCTTCAGGAAATGCAAATATCTTCATATTCCAAATGCCTTTGGCCAGGAATTCTCAAACATGGGTCCTTGGAGAGAATTCAGAGGACCTATAAAGTTGGATCCAAAAAGTGCATATTTATTTTCATTAATGACTACTTGAAAATCTAAAATTTCTTTCAATGATAGAAAATGTAGTTGTTTTCATATTAATTAAAGTCTTTGCAGTTATATTAAAATACTCTTTGGCTGGGGCTGAGGCTCAGCAGTAGAACACTCGTCTCGCATGTGTGAGGCCCTGGGTTTGATCCTCAGCACCCCTTAAAGATGAATAAAATAAAGGTATGGTGTCCATATTCAACTATATTTTAAAAAGTACTCCTTACATTCATCATTACTTTAAAATTATGGTGGTAATCAGACTCTTTACTAATGGTATTATTTAATGTATCAGTAAAGAAGCATAAATGTTACTAGATTGAAAACTCGTTCTTAATATTTTGATAACTATATTTCAGTGGAATTGGTTTTCTCTTATGACAGGCAGAATAATGCCCCCCTACAAAGATGTCTGTATCTTAATCCCTAAAACCTGTGAACCCCAGAGCCTAACACGACAAAAAGAATTTTGCAAATACGATTAAAGTAAAGACCTTGAGTTAGGGAGATTATCTTGGATTATCCACAGGGGTCTAATGCATTCACAGGGGAAGGAGGGAGGAAGCAGGGAGTCAGGGGAGGGTATGATGAAGGAAGCTGAGATTGGGGTGATGCAGGTCATGACCCAAGGGATTTAGGTAGCCTGTAGGAGCTGGAAAAGGCCAGGAAACAGATTCTCCCCAGAACTTCCAGAGGAAATGTAGTCCTGCCAACCAATTTTAGACTTTTGATCTCAGAACTATAAGAGAATAAACTTGTGCTATTTTAATCCACTAAATTTATAGTAATTTGTTATAGCAGCAATAGGAAACTAATACATCATTGTAAGCCTGTGTATTTGATTGAACTTTTTTTCCCAAATGATTTATGTATTTAAGAAAACATTAAGCTAAGAAAATCCATAGGCTTCACCAAGTGCCAAAAAGGGCCATGGCACATATGAAATCTGGCTCATGCCATTGTCAGGATCTTGCCAGTGGCAGTGGGCACAACTGACAACTTCTGGGAAGGATATTCCTGGGTCACAATATTGGAGCTGGAATGTGGGAGTGAGGAGCCTCAGAAGAGCGCCCTGGGAAGATACCCACATTCGAGCTCAGAGTCCTCCTGTCTAGTCCTGCCTGCCTGGCCCAGCATGGCTTCAGAGGATCTCAGTAGCCCTGGGGAGTCCAATGGCTGTCCTGATAGATTTGCTGGAGTTGTAAATGAGCCTCAGTATTCTAGAATGGGGGGTGTCTTGGTGTATATGGAGGGTGGGGTTCTGAGTAATGGGTTCTTCTAGTCAAGCAGATCCCCTCTATTTTATGTTCTGGTTTTGGCAACAAATCTATTTAAAACGTAATGTCTTAAAGCAATAATGACTTCTTATTCTGAGGCTGGCTGGAAAGTTCTGGCTTTGCCTGGGCTCCCCCATGAGGTTGCAGGCAGCGGGCAGGTGGTTGAGGCTGGCTGGCTCTGGGGGATCTCACCCACGTGTCGGGGCCTCTGTAAGGAAGTTTGGGATGTTTAGGGTAGTGACCCAGTTTCTCAGGTGGTCACTGATCCTCACCTTGCCCAGCCTGGACTTCCTGTATGGCTGCCTTGGGGCAGAAAAATAGCAAGAGCAGAAGAGGCAAGGTCTCTTGAGACCAAGGCTGAAAAGCCACATGACATCACTTCTACCATTGTTTGTGGGCCAGAGCCCATTAGGACCAGCCTAGGTCAAAGGGAAGGAAAATACTGACTTGGATTCTCCCTCTTGATGAGAAGGGTAGCATAGTTCTACATTTTAAAGTAGTTTAGGATATATTAACATTTCACCTGCTTTTTATTAACATCCTATAATGCATTTAGTCATCTTACCTGTTTAGTGTCTTCCAATTTTGTGCAACTTCTCAGCTTTTTTTTTGCTTTCCATGACCTTGGAATGTTTGTAGCAGTCAAGTGTTTTGTAGAATGCCTTTCAATTTGGGTTTAACTGATGTTTTCCTCATCATCAGTCTTTACTCATAAATTTGGGCTGAAGGCCACAGAGCAGTGCCCTTCTCATCTTGTTACTAGGGGCTTTGTGATACCAACATTACTTATCACTAGGGATGTTGACCTTGATTCTCTGGTGAAGGTGGCATCTGGTAGTTTTCTCTATTGTAAAGTCAGCATTTTTCCCTTTTCATGCTCTATTGTTAGGATCTTTTTTGTGGTTTTAATTTGCATTCCAATAATGACTAATAATTTCAGGTAATTTTTCAAATGTAAATTTGCTATCTCCTTTCAAAATAATAAGACTGATCCAGTTTCTTCTAAATTATCCTTTATATGCCCCCCCTCTTTTTTTCTATACTGCTGGAGATTAAACCCAAGGCCTCCCTCAAGCTAAGCAAATGCTCTAACTAACACTAACCTATGCCCCTAGCCCACTCCACCTAGTTTAATTTTTGGTACCAGGGAACCCAGGGACACTTGAACCCAGGGATACTTAACCTATGAGCCACATCTCCAGCCCATTTTATTTTTCATTTTAAGATAGGGTCTCTCTGAGTTGCTTAGGACCTTGCCAAGTTGCTAAGGCTGGCTTTGAGCTCTAGATCCTCCTGCCTCAGCCTCCTGAGTCATTGGGATTACAAGTGTGTACCACCACATTGGCCTTGTTTTCAAATTTGATTTTGAGGCAAAGTCTCCCTAAATTGTCCAGGCTGACCTCGAATCTGAGATCCTCTTGCTGTAGCTGCCTACATAGATGGATTACAGGTGTGTGCCACAGGTATTTGCGTGCGTGTGTGAGAGAGAAATGAGATTTCTGTGTTGCTCAGGCTGGTGTTGAACTCCTGGGCTCCAGCAGTCCTCCCACCTTGTAAGTGTGGGGACTCAGCACTCAGGCACTTCCACAGTCAAATTATTTTTAATTGGATTGTTTAATTCCTCACTGGTGAATTTTTAGAGTTCTTTATGTGTTTTGGATACATTTCAAAGTAAATTCAACGCACTTCCCTCTAAATACTTCAGCAAGCATATCATTGGAATTCAGTTTCTTTATATACAAATAAAAAAGTATACTCACTGAGATTTGACGCCATCAAGATGTAGACGATTGTTCTGTTGATTTTTATGACCCATTGATGGACTGCAATCTACTATTTGATAAACAATGTTCCAAATAATCTGGCTTTGGTACAGGCAGGGGTAGGAGCTCTGGATCATGAGCATAGAATTTGCAATCTCTCTCATTTAAATGTTGCTTTTGAACTCAAGAGACCTTCCTGCCTCTTCCCTCCCCGTAACCAGGCCACTTCCTCTAGTTCCTGCATACCAGAGGTCAGCTCCTAGTTATCTGAATACAGGGAGCCCTTAGTCACTTGCTTCTTCATGAAGCAAGACATGAAGGGAGACAAAGGCCTAGAACATTCTCAGCTATTCTGTGGGGGATGTTTTGGGAACGGTGAGTGCTGTATGACCTCACCTTACATTTAAAAATCATTTTTCAGTTATAAAATACTTTTCCTGTAGGCAATGCCGAGTAGTGTTCTAACCCGATCATCCTAATTGACTTGTGCACAAATGGAGGCTCAGAGAGATAGAAGCAACTGGCCCAAGACCACAGAGCTGATGGGTGTGACGCTGGGGTTTGACCTCTGGCATCCTTATTCCTACTAGCCCAGCTGAGGCTGAGTGGCTGCCCCAGTGGGTCAGCCTGGGGCCATTCCTGATTTACCATGTGGCTTCCATGGGAAAGCTGGGTTCTGGGAGACAGGCAGGTATGCCAAAGGCCTCGCTTTTCAGACTGCAGGGCCCACCCTAGGTTTGTTTCTAGGATGGCCTGACTCTGCTGCACTGCGCAGCCCAAAAAGGCCATGTGCCTGTGCTGGCGTTCATAATGGAGGACCTGGAGGACGTGGCCCTGGACCACGCGGACAAGGTGAGAATGGCAAGGCCACTCCTCCCTCCCATGGGCTGGGAGCCACTTGTGCCCTAGAGGCTTACTGCACTCTGGCGTGCATCCTTTGATTTGTGGGTGACTGTGTCCCACTTGGAGTACTGGTCTGGGGGAGACCTCAGGGCACACAAATGGGTGGGGTAGAAGCAGAACATGAGCAGTTGCCTCAGAAAGGCCCTGATAAAGACAAGACAGGGCACAGAAGGGAGCCCTGCTGCTGTGTCCTGGAGAGGGTGGCAGTTGGATTTGGGGTAAGATTGGAAGGGGTGGGGAGCCCCAGAGTTCAGATGGACTGGAATTTTGGGAAGGAAGGTGGGTTGAGGTGAGATGAGAGGGATGAGGAACCCCTTGTGGAGATATCTACCCCAGTCTCTGGAATCTGTTCTTCATTTAGTAGGCAGCAGGGAGCCACCGAAGGATTGCAGTGGGAGACCCTCTCCCCAAGTGGCCCTTGTTGGGAAGTGAGGTCCAGGCTTTTCCATGCAGGGTGTGTGGGGCAAAGGGCAGTAAGGGGGAGAACATCTGGACAGGAGAGGCCACTGCAAGCCCAGAGAGGTCGGGAAGCAGAGGCCAGTGGGCAGAATGGGCATGCCCACTGACAGGGTGAGCAAGGTCACTCTCTCTCTTGTCCTGGCCAGCTGGGAAGGACCGCGTTTCACAGGGCTGCTGAGCACGGGCAGCTGGATGCTCTGGACTTCCTCGTGGGCTCTGGCTGTGACCACAGTGTCAAAGACAAGGTACTGTGACTGTGAAGTCTGGGCTTTGACCAGGATGCAAAACCTCCTGCCACCTTCCTGGCTCTGGTACCTCACCTTTGTCGTCATTGTTGTTGTTGTTGTCGTCGTCCTCTTCCTCCTCCCGCTTCTCCTCCTCCTCCTCTTCTTCTTCTGGTACTGGGGATTGAACAGGGATACTCAGCCACTGAGCCACATCCCCAGCCCTGTTTTGTATTTCATACAGAGACAGGGTCTCACTGAGTTGCTTAACATCTCACTTTTGCTGAGGCTGGCTTTGAACTCGCTGTCCTCCTGCCTCAGCCTCCTGAGCCACTGAGATTACAGGCGTGTGCTACTATGCCCCACTTCCTGTGCCTACTTCTGACTCCAGCTGTGCTGGGGGGCAGCATCCAGAGACAGATCAGAGTGTGTCTGATGTTCACCCAGCAGGCACTTCAGTGCACATACTGTGGGTCCACCCTGTGCTATGGGCTGGGGCACAAAGATGGCCAACATGCAGTTTCTTATTGGAGGAAATCCACACCATAGTCCTAGGAAGGGGCTGTTATTCTGTCAGGGAATCAGAACGGCAAATCTGATTGGTTGGTGGTGCTGTCTAGAGGGTGTTGAGCAGGATTATTATTCCACTGGGGTGGGTTGTCTACTGTTGGGATGTGGGGAGGAGATGGGGGGTGGTAGCCATGCATCTGCCATGGTTGTGGCAACATAGAATGGGAGCAGTTCACTCAGGGTGCAGAGCTTACCAGCAGGATTTCACCAAGCTGAGAAGGGGAGACTACACTGAAAATGACTCATATCGGTGGACCATTGTGAGTCATTGGGCAAAATTCTAAACGATGCTTTCAACAAAGGGAGGAGCTCCATTGTTAATCTTCTGATTAATAATACATGTGTATTCTGATTGGTGTGCTTGGCCAGGATTTAAAGGAGTTCTGTTTGTAAGTAGCGACAGAGAGCTCACAGACAAACACACCACAGGATCTTGGCATTGGAAGGGGTCTTCATTAAGGGTCAGTGCAGCTTTCTTGCTTTTACAGCTGTGGAACCTGAGGCCCAGAGGGGGAGATGCCTTAGCCAAGGTCCCACAGCAAGATAAAGGTAGTGTGGGCTTTGAAAATAGCATCTTCTGCCCAGCTCCTGCCCTATGTTCCTCTCACTCACCAGGCTGCCTCCTAAGGCATCAAACCCTTGGAGTCTGCACTGGACCTGTCCACGTTTAGTTTTTGAGGATAAGAGACTCAGATTACACTGGTTTCCTTTATTCTGAAAAGATAGGCTGAGCAGGTCCTGCTCTGTGGTAGGAACTGGGAACACAGAGGGATAAAGGAAGGGATAAAGGAAAGGGGGCTCCCCCCAGGACAGGCTCACCTTGGAGGCAAAACCTCAGGGCCCCAGGAAAACAGAAGCATCAAACTCAGAGGAGAAAAATCTACTATGAGGGCTGGGGTTGTGGCTCAGTGGTAGAGTGCTTGCCTAGCATGCCTGAGGCACTGGGCTCGATCCTCAGCACCACATAAAAATAAATTTAAAGAAAGATATTATGTCCATCTACAAATTAAAAATTTTAAAAAAATCTAGCTATGGCAAATGCATCCAGAATCAGAAATTCTGGAAAGCAGCTTCTAGAATTGCGTACCCCAGTTAAGTTTCGTTTTTTCAGATTAGAAGTGATTTCATTTTGAATCTCATTTGGGGAGGGGTGCTTTTCAAAGTTTAGGACCCTGTGGTCTGCTGAGGAGAACGGATCTCAGAGTTAAGGACAGCACAGGTCAGCCACACCTGCTGAAGTGAGGACCCAGAGGTGCTGCAGGCCACTTGGAGTGAGTGACCAGATGTTGCTGATGAGGCCACACAGAGGCAAAGAGGCTGGGCATCCCCCAGGTGGGGGAAGAGGGCATCAGGCCCAAGGCTAAGGCCACCTTCTGCCCAGCTCCTGCCCAGGTCCCCTGCCCTGCCCCAGGAAAGTGGAAAAACTCCCTGTGAGGCAGTCCCTGAATGTACTTGTAGCTTTGGAGAGCAGAATGTGGGTGTTTATAATCCAGAAGGAAGAAGAAAGTCCCACAATCATCTCTGCACCCTGCTAATTGGGGGTATATGTGGGCTACACATGGTTTACCTGCTTCCTATGTGTCTCTGAACACAGGCTTGGGTACCTGGGCCAACTGGCTTTAGGTGGGTATGGGTGAAATAGGGTTGATTTTAATTAATTAATTAATTAATTGTATCATACTGGGGATTGAGCCCAGGGGTGCTCTACTACTGAGCTATATCCCTAGCCTTTTAAATTATTATTTATTTTATTTTTGGTATCAGGAATTGAACCCAGGGATGCTACTAAACCAAATCCCCAGCCCCTTTTTTTTTTAATGTTTTATTTTGAGACAGAGTCTCACCAACTTGTTTTGGGCCTTGCTAAGTTGCTGAGGCTGACTTTGAACTTGCAATCCTCCTTCCTTAAGCTCCCAAGTAGCTGGAATTATAGGTGTGCACCACTATGCTCAACTTATTTTGAAAGCAATGTGTCTGCCTTGAAGTATAAGGACTTGCCCTTGAAGGTGCCCTGGTTGTAGTTTTTGACACATTTCTTGGGAACAGTGTGGCATTGGTCCAGGGTATAGGCTGTACTTTGTCACATACTTGTCCTGTGATCCTAGACATGTCACTTCTGAGGGGCAGTGCTGCTGGGATCCTGTGAGTCTCTGTGTGGCTCCAGGGCTCCATGTCTACAGGCCTCTCTGGTGCTCTTCTCCCTGCAGGAGGGGAACACAGCCCTTCACCTGGCTGCTAGCCAGGGCCACATGGCTGTGTTGCAATGCCTTGTGGATATCCGGTGCTCTTCTCCCTGCAGGAGGGGAACACAGCCCTTCACCTGGCTGCTAGCCAGGGGCACATGGCTGTGTTGCAGCGCCTTGTGGACATCGGGCTGGACCTGGAGGAGCAGAATGTGGTGAGTCACCACCTAAGGGATGCAGAGATGTGGTTTACTCACTGGCTTCTTACCTTTGAGGAACCCCAGCCTGTGGAGCAGGCTATTTCCCCCTGGTTGAGGCCCTGAAGCCTGGAAGCTGAGCATAGGTTCTCAGAAAAACGCCAATTATGAAAAGATGAACCACAGCCAGAACCCAGGCTGGGTGGAAGCAAGGCATGATGGGCTACCATGACTTTCTACTCGGGTGTATTCCACAGGGGGGACGTTGGCTAGGATGGTCAGGGAGGACTTCCTGGCTTGAGTGGGAGGAAATAGACGAAGCTGGGGCTGCAATGGCTTGAAGGGTGAGGGAACCTGAAGAGAGATGTGGAGCAGAGAACTGAGGTGCCCCGTCCATGCTTCACACAGTGAGAATATCAGGTGCAGGCTCAGATGCCACAAATGACCAAGACCCTCGTCCTCAGTAGTGGGTGGTGGAGCACCCACGGGGCCTAGGAGCCATGGCACAGGGTTGTCACCTTGGGGTCTGGCCTCAGCCTCCCCACCATCCTCACCCACCCTTGTGTGTTTCAGGAAGGTCTGACAGCTCTGCATGCGGCTGCTGAAGGAGTGCACCCCGACTGTGTGCAGCTGCTCCTCAGGGCCGGGAGCGATGTGAATGCCCTCACCCAGGTAGCCACGTCTCCTGATGTCTGCCCTCAGCCCCTGCAGGTTGTGAGATGCAGATGGATCCCAGAGTGCTATGTCAACCCCGCGTTGGGAGGACCTGTGACACTGCACTGATGCCTCCTTCCCTCTAGAAAAGGCTGAGCTGCCTCCACTACGCAGCTCTTGGTGGCTCTGAGGACATGTGCCGGGCCCTCATTCATGCAGGAGGCTGCACCAATGTGGCTGATCATGTAAGTGTGGGGGCCTCAACTGAAGGGGTCTCCATTGCAAAGTCTCCCGTGACCACACTGATGAAGCACAGCAGGGAGAAAGGGACACTTCATCCATTGAGGGTGGGGGGTGCTGGGACCAGGGGAGCTGGCAGCACTTAGGAAAGTCAAATAATGTTCTATCTGGAACGGGACTGAAATCAAGCTTGCACTTTGTCCCAGCTGAATTGTCTGCTCCTCTTTTCTGCTCATTTATGCACTGAGTCTTTCTTTCCCCTGGTCTTAGGGGTGGAACTCAGGGATGCTCTAACACTGAGCTGCATCCCCACCACTTTTTATTTTTAATTTTGAAACCTACTTCCGAAATAACAGCATTTTCTTTTGGTACCAGGGATTGAATTCAGGGTGCTTAACCACTTAGCTACATCCCCAGTCCTTTTTAAATATTTTATTTATAGAGACAGGCTCTTGCTGAATTGCATAGGGCCTTGCTAAGTTGCTGAGGCTGGCTTTGAACTTGGAACCCTCCTGCCTCAACCTCCCTAGTTGCTGGGATCACAGGCATGTGCCACTGCACCTGGCCCAAGATAATGGCATTTTCCATTCAGGAGGGCAGAGCCTTCATGTCTTAATCACCTCTTGCAGGTCCCACCTCCCAACACTGTTGCACTGGGGATTAAGTTTCCAACACGTGAACTCTGGGGGCCATGTTCAAACCACAGCATGTAAGGAATACAATTCAGCAATGCAAAGGAAGAAACTATTGACATGTGCAACAACTTGGATAGATCTCAAGGGAATTATGTTGGGTGAAAAAAAAGCCAGTCTCAAAGTTTATATCTGTCTGATTCTACTTTTACAACTTTTTTTTTTTTTTGGTGTAAGTGCTACTAGTGATTGAACCCTGGGACATTCTACCACTGAGCTACATCCCCCAGCCCTTCTTCCTTCTTTCCTTCCTTCCTTCCTTCCTTCCTTTCTTCCTTCCTTTCTTTCTTTTCTTTTCTTTCTTTTTTATGAAGTTGCTAAGGTCTCACTAAGTTGCTGAAGCTGGCCTTGAACTTCTGATCCTCCTGCCTCGGCCTCCTGATTTGCTGGGGCTACAGGTGTGTATCACCATGCCCAGCCCACATATTTAGCATTCTTGAAATGAAAACAATAGAAATAAACAGATTTTGTTGCTGGGGGTTAGAGATAGGGGTGAGGTAGAGGAGGGAGAAGGGTCATACAAGGACAACATAAGGGCTCCTTGTGATGAACTGTTCTTTGTCTTCACTGTGTGGCAGATATAGAAACCTACACAGGTGATAAAATTGCATGGAAGTAAACACACAACAAACACAGGTGAAACTGGAGCAGTCTAAATATCAGTGGATTTTCTGATCTTGTCAATACCCTCCTTGGGAGATTTACAGTAGCATTGGGGAAACTGACTACAGCACACACCAGATATCTCTGTATTGTTTTCTAATTGCATATGAATCTGCGATCGTTTCAAACTTTAAATTTGAATTAGAAAAGGTTTTGCTTGTATATATACTTTAAAAATCTCTGGAATTAGTCAGATAAAAGCAGTCATTGGAGCTGGGCATGGTGGTACATGCCTGTAACCCCAGCAACTTGGAAGGCTGAGGAAGGAGGACCGTGAGATCAAAGCCAGCTTCAGCAACTTAGCAAAGCCCTGTCTCAAAATAAAAAATAAAGAGGGCTGGGGATGAAACTCAGAGGTTAAGTACCCCTGGGTTCAATCCCCAGTAGTGCCCCCTGCTTGAGAAAAGCAGTGACTGATTATCAGTGGGGTTGGTGGGTAGGGAGTATGGGGCAGAAGGGTGATGAGTTGGGAAGACCTTTTGTCCTTTTTTGGTTCTTTTGGATTTTATTGACAAAATGTAAAATAGTGAAAAAGCTGTACTTATTTTCTTACCATTCTCCTTCCCCACCACATGTTTCCTGGAAGACCGAGGCGTATCCAGCATATTTTGTTTTGGTATCTCTAGCCTGCCACCTCCTGGGAAGCCACCATGATGGCTCCTGCCCTTGGGCCACTGTCCGGTCTGGGCTCATCCCCTCTCACAGGCCTTTTTTTGGCCTGATTTTGATACCACATTCACCTGCAAATGATTTCAGGAGACGGGTTGGGTTGAAGTTTCAAAGTAATTTTACCTGGGTTTTAAAACTTTCTTTTCATGGCACTTGACATTCGGGGTTTGGGATTACATTAAACCTGAAAATAATGACACAGTGGTCATCGTTATAATATTTAACTTTTTCACTTGGAAAATGATGTCTTGCTATTCCTTTATGTCCTTCACATCCTTCAGTGATTTTATGTAACTTCTGGTTTACATGAGTCTTAATCATTTCCAGTTATACCCTTCATAGACATTTCATATTGTTTGCCCATCATTGTGAACACGGTAGCCTTTTAAATTTGTGTCATTTCTTGTGGGCTTTAATATGTTAAATGCTATTCACTTGGATATTCTTCTCTTCTATACTATTATTATTATTATTTTGGGGGGTAGTTGGGATGGAACCCAGGGGTGCTTAACCACTGAGCCATGTCCTCAGTCCTTTAGAGAGAGGGCCTCACTGAGTTGCTTAGGGCCTCATTAAGTGGCTGAGGCTGGCTTTGAACTTGCAATCCTCCTGCCTCAGTCTCTCAAGCCGCTGGGATTACAGGTGTGTGCCACTGCTCCTGGCTTCTAGATAACTTTTAAAAATTAATTCTACTAGGGCAGAGTAGGGGCAACTATCTTAACCTGTCTAGATAGATAATCACCTTGTTTATTACAAATGATGGTATTGTGAAAATCTTGTTTTCTAATATTGAAAAAAAACCTTCCCCTGACCTTGGCCTAAACTGGTATTGACAATAGTGGGCAATCTGTAATATATATGTATATATATACATTTATATGTTCTATAACTCTTTTATGCTGAACAGATGAACATAAATTTCCACAATAAGTATAGATCTATACCATCATCTTCACGGGCTTCGAACTGTTCCACAGTATGTATGTTACTCCATTGCCTAGAGAGGGGGATGTTGGGGTAGTGTCTCCATTGTGTTACTTAGTCAGGGGACTAAAGGGGACATCTGGGGATGATATTCCCCAGCCTCAAAAGAGGACTTGGATGAGCACTGGGCTTGGAATGAAGTCTCTTTTTTGTTCCTATCTGATTCTTTTATTCATTCATTTCATACATAAATAGTTATCAGGCACTTGCCTACATGCTGGCCCGTGCTGTGTGTTCTTGGGAAAGTTGCTTAAGTTTTCTGAAGCTCATTGTTTCCATTTGAAGGTGAAGAACTATTAAGAATGTGTGCTTCTGAGTCATGTGGGTTAATCCCTGTGTGCTTCCAAGACATGTGGATTAATGAGGTAGAGAAACTGAAGGTGGTGTTGCCAGAAGAGGCCTTAGCAAAGATCACGTATCAGATGAAGATAGCAGAGGACAGGAAATGGCTTGTCCGGTGTCACCTAGTGAGCATACATCCAAGATGGCATAGTAGTCTCAATCTTGGATGTGCAGACCCTTACTCACTTTGAGGACCAGTTTTACAAATGGCTTCAGGAATTCAGGTGGTCTGTGACTGCCTCAGACCACCAATGTAGTTTAAGATGCCAGAAGGGCCAAACCCAGAAGCACTCTACCCCTCCCTGCTCCTGACTCCGAGCCCCAACCTGCAGCTGGGCAGGGCAGGTCCTGGGAGGGACACATCCATTGATCCGTGTGTCTCCTCCCACAGCAGGGTACTTCTCCTGTGCACCTGGCTGTGAGACACAACTTCCCTGCCCTGGTCCAGCTCCTCATCGAGGCCCACAGTAACCTGGATGCCATCGACAATGTAAGTGTCTACAGAAACCATCCAGGCCCAGGGAGCCTCTGGGTGCTCTCTAAGGTTGGCAGGGCTGGGCCATGGTTCCCAGAGTGGCCCAGAGTAAAGAAATTTGCTTTTTAGCTTTTATTTCTATTTTATTTTATTTTCCCATAATTTTTATTGGTACATTATAATTATATGTAATGATAACCTCAGTTGTTACTCTTTTTAGCTTTTAAAAATGTTGTTTGATGCTGTGTTGTGGTGGCACATGCCTGTAATCCCAGCGACCTGGGAGGCTCAGGCAGAAGGATCACAAGTTTGAGGTCAGTCTCAACAACTTAGAGAGGCCCTAAGCAACTTAGCAAGACCCTGTCTCAAAATAAGAAAATAAAAAGGGAATGTATATTGCTCAGTGGTAAAGTGCCCCTGGATTAAATCCCCAGTACCATTTTTTTAAAATGTTTTTTGAATATCTGTTAAAAGCATATCATTTTATTAACCATTTCTCTATTTTGAACATTTTGGATGTTTTCCAGTTTTTACTATGAGATAGATTTTATCTATATCTATATATATATATACACATACATATAATATGTATATGTTATATATGTAGTACATATAATATTATCTATTATATAACATACATAATATTGTATATAATATTAGGTATTATATATATGTGTACATACACACACACACACACACACACACAAAATGCTGCAGTAAACATCTCATTGATTTCTTTTCAACTTTTATTGATTTCTTTTCCCTAGAGAAAATTCTCAGGGGATATTGAAAGGGGCATTCTTATATAACAAGAGTCCTGAGACCTGAAGTTATGATCTGTAAGGAGCCCTTTTAAATCCCTGTCCTCACAACCACCCCCACAACCATATCACAGTCAGTGCCAGCCGACACAACCACTGGAGAATGGGAAGCAGTTTGGCAGACTATGTCATATACCTTTGCAAAGATCTGCATTTGCCCTTCAGGGAATGGAGCCTCAAGAAATATATTAAAAGCTCATGCACAGAGACTTTTATTTTTAGGGATAGGGATGTACCTCAGCATGTGCAAGGAAGGCTCTGGGCTTGATCTCTGCACACACACACACCCCTGCTTCAAAGTCAACTTAAAACATTATTCACTATTAATTCTCAATTTAAAAATGACCCAAATATTTAATAATAGAGAAGTGATTAGATAAATTATGGTACATACATAAATAGGCCATTACAGAGTTTAGTAAAAATGGTGTTTATCAGAGTTTATAATACATGGCAAGTAGTATGGTAGGTGGAGAAATAAGATTGAGAGTGTATGTACAAGGTAATCTCAAATATATAAAAGGACTAGAAATTCACCAGGCTCATTATGGAGTGTTAAGTTTATGATTAAACCCAGCTCACCCCCACCCCCCGCCCCATAGCATAACTTTGTTAAGGCCCATTTGGGCCTGTCCCACCCTGGTCCTGCCCTGGCACTGAGCAGCAGGCCACCATACTTGCTTTTCTGCTCATCTGTCCCCTTGGCTTCTCCAGAGGCAGCAGACGCCCCTCCACCTGGCCGCTGAGCACGCCTGGCAGGACATAGCAGAGATGCTCCTCGTGGCTGGGGTCGACTTAACCCTGAGAGATAAGGTACCTCTGCTCGGAGCCGGCCTCCTTCTTTGCTGGAGACCCTGCTGCAAACGTCTCTTTCCTTCAGTCCTCTCCCCTGCTCGAAAGCAGCCTCCTTGAGAAAGCATTCCTGCCCTCCCACTCCCTGCCCTCCCTCCTCCGAGGTCCCTCAGCCTCCACCCAGGCGCGGTCTATGGTTTCTCTGTCTCTTGGCCCCCACCAGATGGTGAACTCCCTGAATCACCTTGAGGGGTTGTGGGGAGAAGCAGGAGTACTGTATCACCACCCAGCACCCTCTGCATGTGCACCAGGGTTTGGGGACACTTCCTGGCACACTGTGCCTGTGGGTGGCTACTTCCTCCAGTGATTGGAAGTCTCTGAGGAGCTGAAGGCTTGGGATGAGGCTGGAGATCACAGGTGCAGGAGGGGAGGGCACTTGCACACCTCACTCAGCAAGGTCAGCCTGGGTGGTGGGGTCAGAGTTGGGGACCAGGATCAGGTTAGGCCTGGGAAAGGGCTCCCTGCTTTGAGCTGGGCCCCCAGGGAAGCTGGACAGATGCCAAGAGCAATTTCCCATCCAACTGTGGGTCCCTGGAGGTGACTAGAAGGCCTGGGGCACAGGAGCTGGCACCAGCAGGAGGGTTAACAAACATGAACCAATGAGCCCACACTCTCTTCTCGGGGCTCTGATTTCTTCATCTGAAAAATAGCGCTGGGGAGGCCGGGTTGTGGCTCAGTGGTAGAGCGCCTGCCTAGCATGCATGAGGTACTGGGTACAATCCCCGACACCACATAAAAAAATAAACAAATAAAATAAAGGTATTGTGTCGATCTACAACTAAAAAAAATGGGGTTGGGGTTAACACCAGCTCACAGGCTGTTTACAGTCAGTGGCAGAGGCCACACTGCACCCCTCCTGTGGAAACTCAGACTTCCCTTCTGCCTCTTGCTTGCAGCAAGGAAAAACCGCCCTGGCAGTGGCCGCCCGCAGCAACCACGTCAACCTGGTGGACATGATCATAAAAGCAGACCGTTTCTACAGGTGGGAGAAGGTATGGGGGCCCTGTGCTCCACTGGTTCCTTATGTTGGGAAGAGAACAGCCTCAGCTCTGGGTAGAGCTGGTTTTGAGTTCGGGTCTTGGCCAGTTCTGGGGTCCCTGTCTCCAAGTGGGTGAGAATCCCTGCTTTGCACCCAGACACACTGAGACTGAGACCCACGCCTGTGTTCCTGAGGCTGGACACTGCAGTAGCTCCTGGCAAATGCATGTGCCTGAATTGCATGGGTGAATAAGAAGATGGCAAGTTGGTTCCATCTCACTGACATCTCCGGGTGATTGAAATTGCAGGGTATTTTGTTTAGGTGACTTTCTGAACCTAGAGGGAAAGTGTGCTGGAAATGATTGGTGATATCCTCCATAGACTGGGGGAAGCAGAGGAGCAGAATGTAAGGTCACGTATGGGCTGTTCCAATAGGGAATGGGGAGTTTTTTGGGTGTCCTTGGGGATGTCTTCATACATAGAAAACTTTTGCATTTGCTTTAGTTTTTGAAATTAATGTGAACTTTTTTCAAAGTACTGGAGATTGAACCCAAGGCAAGTGCTTGCTAGACAAGTGCTTTACCACTGAGCACACTCTCCGTCCTTTTTATTTTATTTTGAGACAGAGTCTCACTAAGTTGTCCAAGTTGGCCTTGAGCTTGTGATTCTCCTGCCTCAGCCTCCCAAGCCACTGGGATGGCAGGTATGCACCACCATGCCAGGCCCTAAGAAACAATTCTTTTTTAGTTGTTGATGTATGTTTATTTTATTTATTTATATGTGGTGCTGAGACTCAAACCCAGAGCCTCACACATGCTATGCAAGTGCTCTACCACTGAGCTACCACCCCCAGCCCCTAAGAAACAATTTTTAATACCCTGTGAGAACCAGGCTCCTGGGTCATCACTTCCCAGGTGACTGGCCACAGATGGTTGACCAGGATGCAAGATCTGGAGCTGCAAATGCCATGTAATTTTTTTCACCTTGAACTTTGAAACAACCAGAACTCAACATCCATTACCTTTAGGGGGGCTTTAGGTTTTTGTGGGTTTAATTTATGCTATTTCCAAATTCTTTTGTAACCCCTAATGTTATTACCTGCTTTGCCTAGGAAGGACCCTGTAACCCCAGCTTTCACTATTTGCTGGGATTTGGTAAGCCTGATGCTTGGCCTGCCTGGTTTTGGCCATAGCTTCTGAGTCATTCTGTTGACAAACATGCTCTGAGAACCCCAAAAGGGACTGGGGCTGTGGCTCAGTGGTAGAAGGCTTGTTTAGCATGCACAGGGCCCAAAACACAAACAAATCAAAAACCACATCAAACAAAAAGCACTGAGAGAGAAAGGCTTCTGACCAGAGGAATTTGGGAAGGCCTCCTGGAGGAGGTGGCCCAGGAGTGCTCTTTTGACTATGGCAGTGGGGTTGACCGTCAGGGAGGAGAGAAACCGAATTCTGGGTGGAAGGAGTGTGCGAGCACCTTGGGTTCCAAGGCATGGCATGGAGTCAGGACCCCAGTGGACCCTGAGCCTCAGGCCCCACTGACTCCAGTTCCAGGCTCCTCAGCAGAGGTGGTCATAGGGTAATTGGGGCTGCAGCCCTGTGTTACTCCTATTCAAGACCTTGGCACGGAAACCCCCTCCCATGGCTTCTTCACTTTTGGGATCTACCCACAGGACCACCTTTCATGCAGGGACCCCAATGACTCCTCGGGAAAGAACTTGTCCTTTAAGCAGGACCATCAGCAAGAAACACAGCAGTTCCGCTCTGTGCTGTGGCGACTGGCCTCCAGGTATCTGCGGCCCCAGGAGTGGAAGAAGCTGGCATGTTCCTGGGAGTTCACCGAGGCACACATCTATGCCATCGAGCAACAGTGGACAGGTACCAGCCTGCCCCCCTCCCAGCAACCAAGGCACAGAGGGGTGAGGGGCACTTGAGTTGTTCTGTGCTCCTGAGGAAAAAAGCTGTGCAACCCACATGCCCCTTTCCAACTCTGGCCCCTTGCACAGGGTGTATCCCCCCTCTCCCTCCCAGTGACCTGAGGACTTCACAGTCTTCAGAATCAACGGAAGCTGAGAGTCCAAACGTAAACTCTATTACAGATAGGAATTCTCATGTATGATAAAGGAAATTTGTAAATTGTGGGAGTCGGGGAAAATACTATTTAATTGTGTTGAGATAAGTGGGTTGACCAGTTGAGTTTTCCCACCAGTCACATCAAGGGCAAGCACCATGAGGAAGTGTCTGCTGAGGGCCCAGAGAAGAACACAAAAAGTCACAGGATACAGTGAACCAACTCATCTGGATCTGATGATGTGGCCAAGCATCTGTCTGCATCCCAGGCAGGAAAATCTGACTTAGTCATGAGGGTTTAAAACACGTTAACCCCCAACACTGGACACAGGATAGTGTGGACAGTTACTTCCCAAACTTGGTTGTATGCTGGGATCACCTGAGAAGCTTTGAAACTGCTCAAGGCCTAAGCCATCCCCAGACTCGGGCACAGCTGCATTGGGGTGAGGTGAGCCCATGGTGCCAATATTTTTCCATGCTTCCTGGATCTTTCCAAGGAGCAGGTAAGGCTGAGAACATCTAGTGTAGGGAAAAGAACATGGCCAGCTCTGCCTCTCAGTAAGCCCTCTTCTCACTGGAAAACAGGGCCACTAGCATGCAAGGCACAGATTGTGACCAAAGAGATGAGGCACATAATTGTGTGCATCCTGCTACCGTAGGGACATATGCCATTTATTTCTTTCTTCAGAGTGACACTGACAGGTTGTGTAGCGGATGCTCAGGAGAAAGCCTGGGACTAGGGATGTTCTAGGTCCCTGAGATACAAACTCTGACACCACCCCATCTGAGATGCGGCTTCTCCCCACCCCCAGCCACCTCTGGGCTGAGCCTGCTAGAGAGGCCTGAGGTGGTCCTTGGCCTCTTTTGTAGCTGGGCATGCTCAGGAGGCTACAGAAGGCCACATAGACATGGATGGCTCCTCTCTCTTCCCTTGTCATCCTCAGGCACCAGGAGCTATCAGGAGCATGGCCACAGGATGCTGCTCATCTGGCTGCATGGCGTGGTCATGGCTGGTGAGAATCCCAGTAAAGCGCTGTTCGAGGGCCTGGTGGCCATTGGCAGGAGGGACCTGGCTGGTAAGAGTTGGGCTCACAAGCTGTGTGCCCCTAGCTGGAATGTGGCCCAGCCCCAAGGGGCTGCTCAGACTAGTAAGCTGTATTGCTGACTGAATCTTCCAGATTCCTAGTCCTAGCCCTCCTTCCTCCTCAAACCCAGGAGGAGCCTTGGGCAAATCGCAGTGCCCCTTGGCCCTGGTTTCTCCATCCTTGTAGTGAGGGTGGGCGGCCTAAATGAACCCTCTGATTTTCACAACCCCCTATAATCTCTCCCTTGCCAACCCTCCATGCCTTGAATTTCGCCCCTAGTTTGGAATAAGTCTAGAACAGCCTTCAGACTTCTTTTTCACAAAATAAGACTTGAGAAACCGGCTTAATAGAGTTGAACCAGTCAGATCTGGAAAATAAAACTTCTGAGGTCATCACAACCTACTTAATCATGCCAATCCCAAAATCCTGATTTGGGACTCAGAGAGTCCCGTGGAACCTTCAGGCCAGGAGGATAAAAGGTCTGGCACTAATTCCTCATTAAAAAACAAAATCAGCTCACGACAAAAAAGTTTTAAACACTGTAATGTCCCTGGGGTGCTGGCTGACCCGTGGCTGCCATAGGCAAGGTGGGAAAGCAGAGAATTATTTGTGGGTGGAGGAATTAGGGATGGATTTTATCTTTTTCCAAAATATTCTCATATAAAATTGTTGTACCTTTTCTTAGCACCAAGTCTGGCAGGAAATTAAAATATAAAACCTGCCCTGGAGGGTAGAACTGAAGCCATAAGATTCTTGTGTTTTGCAGAGAGTATTAGGAAGAAAGCAAATGCTGAGCCGAAGGCCCCCAGGAGGTGCACAGCCATGTAATCAGGGGCCACCTGAACAGAAGATGACCAACCCTTAAGTGCTTTTCAAATGACCACTGTTAACAGACCCACAACTGTTTCTACTGAAGTGTGTAGTGAAGCAGACACCAGCAGGCAAATGCTTATAATCCTTTTTGGGAGGACTGGTCCAGAGGAGGCCTGTTCTAGGTTTTGCAGGTGATCCCGTCCCAGGTCCTTTGGCTCTTTGCTCATTTTCACCTCTATTATCTTAGACACTCACAGTCTCTTCCCTGCTATTCAAGGGACATCTTTACAGATAGAACACTGAGGCCCAGGGAGGAGTAGCTACTTGCCCAAGTCACACCACTAATCAGATGATGGGGCCTGTTGTCAAACCCAGCAGGCCTCCCACCCAACCCGGGGAAAGGGCTCCATCTGTCTCTTTCAAAATGAACTCTTCTTAATTTGTTCACTGTTAGTGTGTGCTTGTGTTTTACTGTACTGAGATAGAACCCAGGGGCTCTCTACCACTGAGCTACATTCCCAATAGCTTTTTATTTTGAGACAAGGTGTCACTAAATTACTGAGGCTGGCCTCAAAGTTGTGATCCTCCTGCTTTAGCCTCAGCAGCCAGGATTACAGGTGCGTGTTACCACGCCTGTTTTGTTTACTGGTTTTTAAGAATGGCACGCTTGTCCCACACCTACCTGTAGTTACAAATTTATTTGTGTATTCGGACAAGAGGGGTGCTGTTGTGAGTGGCGCTATTAATAATTACTCAGAGGTCTATTGTCTTTAAATGCAAGCGTATATTCGATCACACCAATCATCAAACACAAACAATTAATGCAAAAAGTGTTGGGTATGCTGGAGCACCCTAACTAGCATCTAATGCACACTAATTAACACAACAAGCACATCACACAATACTAGGGCAACCTCGAGCCCCAAAGTACCTCTGATGCCACGCAACTTCTCTTAACCGAAGAGCAGATGTTGTTATTGTCCAGTGGTTCTCTCCAACTGATGGTTGGACATCAGGGAATGGTGGATTCGGTCTGGGGATGGATGGACAGCAAGATGGCCAGTCTCACTGATTCCTCAGAGCAAAACTCTCTGATGTGGCAGGACAAGCAGTTTATGTGCAGTTCCAAGTTGGTGCTCATTGTTATCACGCTCCAGTGTTGTTCTGCCTGTCTCTAGATGATGGTCCTTATCAACTGTGTCCAGTTGTGACTAAGTATGTCTGTGGCTGCTGTTCTTTACAGCTAGCAACTTAGTGAGTCCCAGCCTGGCCTTGCATGTCTATGGCAGAGGCTCCTTGCAAGTGCATGCTCATTTCCCCCTCTTATTGTATAATTTTTTAAAGTATTTTTAAAATATGTTTTAGTTGTAGTTGGACACAATACCTTTATTTTATTTATTTATTTATTTATTTATTTATTTATTTATTTATTTTTATGTGGTGCTGAGGATTGAACCCAGCGCCTTGCATGTACTAAGGCAAGTACTCTCTGCTGAGCCACAACCCCAGCCCTTATTTTATAATTCTTATGTTTTAAAACTTTTTAAATTTTGAAATAATTTCAGACTTACAAAAAAGTTGCAGAAATAGTATGAAGAATTTCCAAATACCCTTCAAGCAGCTTTCCCAAATATTAATGTCTTACGTAACTACAGTATACTCTTTTAAACCAGGAAATTAACACTGTGCAATGCTATTTGCTAATATCAGACCTGATCCAAATTTTGCTGGTTGAGCCATTCATGTCTTTTCTCTGGACCAGGATACAGTCCAGGATCACTGATGGCATTTAGTTGTCATTCTTCTGTACTTTTTTTTTTTTTTTTAATGGTGCTGGGGGTTGAATCTAGGGTTTTGCATATGCCGAGCACATGCTCTACCACTGAGCTAAACGCCAACCCTCTTTTCATTTTTAATAGCGGCATACAAAGGGTCACTGTTTTGGAGCAATATAATCCAGTAGAATGTTCTACAAAAATGTTTTCTATCTGCCCTGTCCAAGATGGTATCCACTAGTGACCTGTGGCTTTTGAGCACTTTAAATGTGGTTAGTGGGTCTGAGGAAATGGATTTTAAATATTATCCTATTTTAATTGTTTGAAAAAATACATGTATCCACATTTGGTGGTGCTGGGGATTGAGCCCAGTCCTTGGGCATGCTAGGCAAGGTCTCTACCACTGAGCTACACCCCCCACCTCCGTCGTTTGAGATATAAATAGACAAGTGACAACCACACTGGACCACAGAGCCAATCTGAGCTTTGCTTTCAGGTGCCAGGCAGGCACAGATTGTGGGGCTCGGTCACCCCAGCAGGAGAGTAGGTTTCCAGGAAAATGTGACTCTTTGGAAGCTTTTTGATTTCCTACAATTCAGAAACCATCTGTGCAGAATAACCTAGAAGTTCTGCCAGAAAGCAATTGGTATCTAGTGTGGGCTCTCTTGCGTGTGGCACAGCTGTGGCCATTCTAGGAGCCCACGTCTCAGAAAAGCTCCCTACGAAGTTCTCCCTTGGTCTGGGACTGACAGGAGACAGAATCAGAACTGTTAAAGCTGAAAGGGGCTTCAGTTGTCACTTGTGGCTGGTGGCATACACGGTGGTCCAGTCCTCTGAGAGGCAATCTGGCTTTGTCTATCCAAACCACAGACATCTCTCCCCCTTGGTCCAGCAATCCCACTTCTAGGGACATGTCCTATGGTAAGTCAATATATGTATCTAATAACAGACATGTGAGGTTTTTTATCACTACATTTTTCCAATCTTTTTTTTTTTTTAGAGAAAGTGAGAGAGGGGGACAGAGAGAGAGAGAGAGAGAATTTTAACATTTATTTATTTTTTCTTAGTTCTCGGCGGACACATCTTTGTTGGTATGTGGTGCTGCTGAGGATCGAACCCGGGCCGCACGCATGCTAGGCGAGCGCGCTACCGCTTGAGCCACATCCCAGCCCCCATTTTTCCAATCTTTTGTTTTTTATTTTATTTTTGTTACCAGGGATTCAACCCAGAGGCACCTAACCGCTGAGTCACATCCCCAACCCTTTTTACTTTTTTATTTTGAGACAGGGTCTCACTAAGTTGCTTAAGGCCTCAGCTAAATTGCTGAGGCTGGCCTTGAACTTATGATCCTCCTGCCTCAACCTCCTAAGCCACTGAGATTACAAGCATGCAGTACCAGGCCTGGTCAATCTTTTGTTTTTTAAAAATAAACTGAATGACCATCTCCAGAGGATGGGTAAAATAAAGTATGGTTCAATAATTAAAACAAAAGAGGGGCTGGGGATGTGGCTCAAGCGGTAGCACGCTCGCCTGGCATGCGTGCGGCCCGGGTTCAATCCTCAGCACCATATACAAACAAAGATTTTGTGTCTGCCGAAAACTAAAAAATAAATATTAAAATTCTCTCTCTCTCAACAAAAAAAAAAAAAAAAAAAAAAATTAAAATTCTCTCTCTCTCTCTTTAAAAAAAAATTTAAAACAAAAGATCATGGATACTTTCCAAGTATTGTTTCAAAAGAGCTTCAGGATAAATTAAGTAAAAAAAAATCAAGATCTGATCAGTGCATATGGTATGCTGATTGTGTAAGAAAGGAAAGAAACCAAAAATATATTTTATTTGCTGATACTTGTATTGGAATTCTCTGTACCTTCTGCCCAACTTTTCTCTAAATCTAAAAATAAAATTATACAAAGAATAAAAGAAAAAGCTTTTAAAAATCAACCCATCAGGCTGGGTTCAGTGGTATGCACTTGTAATCCTCAGGCAGCAGAGGCTGGAGAATCACCTGAACCCAGGTACTGTAGTTTGGACCTGGAATGTCCTCCAAAGACCCGTGGGTTGAAGGATTGGCCCCCAGCTGGTGGCACTATTGGGAAGTGGTGGAACCTTTTAGGAAGTACAGCCTATTAGAAGAAAGTTAAGTCACTTGATGCCCTTGATGGGGATATTAGGATGCTGGTCTCTTCCTCTTCCTCCTTGCTTCCTGGCTGCCTGGAGGTGAACACACATCCTCCTTCATGTGCTTCTGCCATGATGGGGTGTGCTACCACAGCAACAAGTCCAAGTGACTGCGGACTGAAACCGTGAGCAAAAATAAACCTTTCCTCCTTAAAAGTTGATTATCGGGTGGGGCTGGGGCTCAGCGGTAGAGCTCTTGCCTAGCACGTGCGAGGCCCTAGGTTTGATCCTCAGCACCACATTAAAAAAATAATAAACAAATAAAATAAAATATTTTTCAAAAACTTGATTATCTCAGATATTTTGTTGCAGAGACAAGAAGCTAACTAATACACTAGGAGTTCAAAACCAGCCTGGGTAACATAGCAGGACCCCATCTCAAACAAAACAAACAAACAAACAAACAAAAAAAGAAAAGACCAACTGTGATGGCAGATTCCTATAGTCCTAACTACTTGGGAGGCTGAGGCAGGAGGATTGCTTGAGTCCAGGAGTTTAAGACCAGTTTGGGCAACATGGCCATCATCTATTCCATTTGGAAAAGTTTTTTTCAAAAAAGTTTTCCAATACTGGTGATTGAACGCAGGAATGCTCTACCTCCGTGCTATACCCCTGTTCCTTTTTATTTTATTTAGAGATAGGGTCTCAATAAATTGGTTTCCTACTCCTTCTGCCTCAGCCTCCTGAGTAGCCAGAATTACAGGTGTCTTTTGTAGTACATGGGACTTCGATAATTTATTTGGATGAATTTTACAAAAGGAATTTTGTATTTTTTTTCCCTGAGGTAAAAAAGCATGTCCTTAAATAAACATTGAAATAATCTCTCATATTCAATTCTCATTTCTTTTGTTTGGGAAATCTGGGGCACAGTATCAAAGCAGGCAGGAGCCTATCCTGGGTGGGTTCTGTGTGAGCTCAGCTCTCAGCGTGGCCCCACCAGTACACAGTTCCAGAGCACCACTGTCCAGAGCCAGTATGGAGGTAAGTAGCCCATAGTTCTTGCCCCCAGAAGTTTAGAGTGAAGGAGAGGGGCTTGGACACGAGTAAGTGTAATATCCTGTAAGTAGCCCTATAGTGGGTGAGTGTGAAGAATTATGGGATTTATTCTTCCTTGAAGAAGGGAGTTCTGAGAAGTTCACAGAGGAGAAAGTAGTGGGGAAAGGACAGACTCAGTTAAGAGGGCCTGGAGGTGTGGCAATAGATGCATCTGAGGAACTGGTGTTGCTGGAACAGAGTGTGGAAGGACAAGGAGAGATAGGAAGGGGTGCAGAAGGGATGCTGGAAGTTTATTCTTCACCCCATAATTTAAAAATTGATGTCTCCTAAGACAAAAAAACTGAACAGAATAGATTCCTATAACTGAGCAAGAATCTGCTGCCTGACATGCATAGAACCCAGTACCATGTGACTGCCATTTTGCCAAAAGGAAGAACCTTATTTGGGTCATCTGACAAGGAGACAGGAGGACACTCCAATCTGTCTCCCTCATCAGCAGC